CTTCTTTTTATCCTTTAAGGAATGCCCAAGTGTGTGTCCACTATCTTGAGAATACCATTCTTACCCCTGTTATAAACATTGGTGTAGTTGCAAGTATATTATTCAATTTCATATCCATACTAGACTCTTAATCAATATATGCCTTCATTTGGGAAAAATATAAATAACAATACCCTGAATACTTCCGGGTGAAATGCTACAATGATAGCTCTGTGCGCTTATGGATAAATATCTAAAATTGTTAAGGAACTATCAAGGCCTTACCTAGTGGCATTGCTATTTATTAATGATGTTGCTAAGTATTGCCAACAAAGTATTTCTGGTGCCTTTGCCATGGATGGATTATATCTCCGTACTTGGTGAATGCGTTAAGAAATACCAACAAGCATTTCTGGCGCTGTTGCCGTGGATGGATTCTATCTCCATACTTGATGAATGCGTTAAGAAATACCAACACTGCACCTCTGAAAGCTCAATCACTAACTTTCCCTACTTCATCTCCTTATAGTCAAGACCGCTGACTGTTGCAAGCTCCCTGAAAGTTGCCTTGAATTTTGTAGTGCCAGTCATCTAGATAAGCTTCTCTTTTGATGCCTTAACCTCCAAGGTGGCGTAGAACTGACATATTACCAACTCATTCCAATCTTGCCAAAAGGCCAGTACATCTCTCCATCCCATGACCCTAAGCATGTCCACCAAACTTGCTAGGTGTGGAAAGCTCTCCAGATAGCTCCAACTCACCCACTGCTGCTCAACATGCATAGGTCTTATGTCTAAACCCCTCAGAATAGCCTCAACTGAGTCAAGGTGTGAAAATAAGGTGACGGAGACTCCCTTTGTCTGCCCAAAGTGCTTGGAAAAGCAAGCCTTGTTGTACTCTTCGAGCACCCAACGAAATCAAGCTGTGGGCACTGCTGACAAGTTTATAGGCTGAGTCCCCTCATCTTCATCATCTTCGTGACGGCTGATATCAGACATGTTTGCCCTTGATCTCTTCTCACTACCTGCTCCCAAAAGGCAACGAATAGCACCAATCCTGCGACAATGGGAAAAGAGCAGACAAGTTAGAAAATTTCAATAAAAGGGAACCAAAATGGATTCAATAGCAATTGAGCACAAATGGACTCAATATATGTACAAGTATGATCTACAACAAGTATACAACATGTGTAAAGGGCATGCAAGACATCTATAAAGTATTGGACCAAGGTTGAGCAAGTTACAGTTGAATCAGCATTGATTAGAATTTGACGGAGTGTCCGCTAAGGACCACGGACCGTCTATCGAGTTATACAGTAACAATATTTACTCAAGCCGAGAGTAGTTAAAGTCTCGTAGAGCGTCCGCCCAAGATAACGGAACGTTCCGCCAACACAAAAATCAACACAGAGAAGGCCACAAGCTCTAGATTAAGATAGCGGAGCATCCACAGAATCCCATGGACCATCTGCAAAGGACACCGACAGAACCAATCCAAGCTACATATTTTTCTAAGACCCTAATGGACTTGACGGAACATCCCACCAGGAATGGCGGAGTGTCCACTAGAGGTCAGCCAGTCAAGAAAAGTGCACCATAACCGTTTGATTTTTAATCCCTAGTAGCTTTTTAATCCCTATATTCCATCGACGGAAGGCTAACACCAAAATGGAGTAAGGAATAACATGCAAGTAAGAATAAATCCTCTTTTTGTTAAAAATCACATCATTTCGGCTCAATCAAATAGACCAAATAATTGCACTTGTTCCCACACAAACTTGGGATCGCAATTTAGAGTCTACTTGTCTTTGCCGAGGCACAAAAAAAATCTTTTGTGTTTCTTGATGGTTGTAGACCAAAAGCAACCTGAACCAGGAGACACACGCGCAAAAGACGTGCACAGGACCGATAGGGGTGCAGGCGGCGTTGGTAAGGGTAAAGGCGTCGGTGAGAATGGAAAAGGAAACCCAACCGGTTGTTGTCAGAACTTATATAGATCGTGGACAGTGGAGGTGTCCGCCAATTGTAGTGGAATGTCCATCAAAAGTTGCCTGGACCACCCTAACCCTAATGGATCATCTGTCACTACTGACCGACTGACCGTGAAAGCCAAGTAAATGCCTAATGGCCTAAACCCTACCCATGTACATGATAGAAGCTCGGTTAGGCGTCTTCTTGAGACTAAGCTAACATGTCACTGAACCTACCCACCCTTCTACACACCGGGTACTCACACAAGCTCAAAGTTTCAGCGGGATTGCGTGCGTTTGAAATGTCTTAGTGCCATGACAGGACCCAAAACATGTGTGCATGGAATGTAAACAACATGTATGTGTCGAAAGAAGCGAGCTAGCGTGGAGACGACCAAACCCAATGTACTATACCCTAACTTGCTATGATGAGTCCAAAACCCTAGAAAGAGAAAGATTATACAATCAGCTCATAGACCCGATGCATGATCTACAGATGGCAACCCTTGTCGAATCCCGGAGTGGAAAAAGTCACCGAGATCCAAGGTAATCTGAACTCTCATAGCAAGGAACCCCGGACCTTTTTAGCTTAATCAACCCTACCGCTTGGCTGAGCTCAAGGACGAGCTCTTTCTAAGGAGGGGAGAACTCGTCATGAGCTGAGGTCAGTCCAACTAGAACCTTTGACCACCCTACTAAGAACTCCTTGTCAAAACTTTAGAATTGTTCATCCATTCTCCCATGAAGATCCCTGGTGGTTTACACAAGGACAACGACTCAAAATTCACCATCCAATCTCCCTAATTCTCTCAAGTTAACCCAGAGTCAACAAGGGTCAAACAGACATCAACGATGAGAAAATGTTCTCTGAAAGGTGTTAATCAGGATCCCTAATCTCTCTAAGAGTGGATACTGGTAAGAGTTGACCTCAATGCCAAAGATCCTAGTCTCTGAATCAAATTCACCAAGATAGAGGGCTGACAGAGCATCTGCCAGGTCTCACGGACCATCCACCAACTCCCAGAACAGAAGCAGTGAGTGGAGAATGAGATGTCCTCCACCTCCAACACCCTTGGCCCCACAAGTCAGCACGAAAGTGGACTCTATGTTAGCAGAGTCAGCTCCCCCTCTCTCACTCTCCTATTCCTCACCCCCTCATCTCTCTACCAAACAAGAATAAGGAAGAACCCTAGAACTAGAGAGAGGATGAGATGGAGCAAGGCAAGAAGAAAGAAGAAGAAGAGGAAAAGGAAAGGAAGCATCAACATCTCAAGAGCTATTTGGTCACCTCCATTCCAATCCATGGTTAGCTCAAGAAACTCCCTCGCATTCCTTGGATTCATTCCCTAAAACCTAACTCTTGGTTCTTGATGCAAGTTTGATATGGAAGGCTAGTGGTGGTTCCATCATATGTAGGGTAAGTTCAAGATCCACTCTAGCCCAATCATCTCATATCTCTCTTGGATTTCCCTTTGATGCATTGTTATGGAAATTTTTGCAAGAAAAGCTCATGAGTGGCCAATCCACTCTCTCGTGCTTGGAAGCAAGGATGGACAAGGTACAAGGCACAAGGCACAAGCACATGGTCCAGATCTTCCCAAATGTCAAAGCTAAGTTGCCATGCCCAACCTGAAGATTAAATCATCAATTTATCATGATTTTGGTTTGATTCCAAATCACTAGTTGCTAACTATAGCTCAAACATAGCTAACATGAGCCCAACTAGTCACCTAAACTACCCTAGAAACCTCTTACACATGCATGAAGCCTAGCTTACTACATCTAGGATTGGATCACCAAGAACCCACGTGAAAAGCTTCGCACATAGATTCCGTCGACCGTCTGACTGAGCGTCCGTCGGAAACGATGGAGAGTCCGCCAACCCCCAAAACGTAGCAGACTTCACAGCCAGAGCACTTACACCCTCTCTGAGTGAAAGAGCGGTGTCCGTGAAAGACCATGGAGTGTCCACTGAATTATAAATGTAATTTCCAGAGAACCCGAGAGCATCCAATTCTCGGCGGAGCATCCACCTGATGTGGTGAAGTGTTTGTGAGAACTCCCAGCACACAAAATGCCTAAGCCCAAACTCTACGCGCACACATCATCCGAGCACACACGATGGGAAATCGCGAATACATCATCCGAGCCGTGTTACGTTTATACACGCCGCGAATCCCCCACTCTTGGTCCCAAATAGACCTAATGTATGCAGTTGAACTCATACGCGCACAATACATAGGGTGGACCTACGATGATTCTTTGGTATTTCTAAACCTAGTGTTTTGACAGAATATTAAATATATACTATGTAAGTAGAAGTATATAATATAATCTCTCTGTTCCAAATTATAAATCGTTTTTGACTTTCTTGCTACGTTATGTTTCCCGGACGGCCGACTGATGCGATGGGTTTTTTCCTACTTTTCCCGCTGAAACGCAACGCCATTGCGGAAACAAACACACCCATTGGCTGATTCCATGAAGCAGCACAAAAATGACAACAGAGTGGCTGCCACTGTGGATCCCGCGCCCCGCGGCCATCACCGCCCCCACCTGCTCCGCGTCCTCCGATCCCCACCCGCACCCCACCACGCCGGAGAAGGAACCCGTAAGAAACGGTGGAAAAAATAATAATTAGGAAAACAAATTTCAAATCAAAGTCTCCTACACCCAGCGACGAAAACGCTGCGACAATTCAAATCAAATCAAATCCATCCGAGTCGAATCGAGCCAGCGCAAACCCCGCTGCCGATCTCCTGTGCTCTCGCCGCCCGCCTTCCCCGATTCTGCAGCCGCTCGCTGCGAATCTGGGCGCGATTTCGAGGCTAGGGTTTGGGAGGCTCCGGATCGCGGGGCCGTGCGGTGGCAAGGGTTTGGATTCGGGGGTTGCTGCTGCGGGTCGGGGGTGCTGGATTGAGCTACTCCGCGCCGGCTTGTGATGGTGGTGAGCGGCGGTGGAAGACGAGTAGACGGCGGCGGCGGTGGCGGCGGTGGCGGCGGTGGTGAGTAGGGTTTGTTGATTGAGTTGGGGCCGAGGGCGCGCCGGCCATGGTGCGGCTTCTCGGGCTGCGGAGCCTGAGCTTCGGGCCGGAGGAGTCGCCGCGGGAGATCCCCTCCACCGCCGACGCGGCCCCGCCCGTTGGCAGCAGTGGCTGGCTCGTGCGCTTCTTCGACTCCGCCTTCTTCTGCGAGTGGATCGCCGTCAGCTACCTCTACAAGCACGACCATGCCGGAGTGCGCGACTACCTCTGCAACCGCATGTACACGCTCCCGCTGCCGGGGCTCGAGGCCTACCTCTTCCAGGTCTGCTACATGCTCGTCCACAAGCCCAGCCCTTCCCTCGACCGTTTCGTCATCGACACCTGCGCCAAGTCGCTCCGCATCGCGCTCAAGGTGCACTGGCTCCTCGCTGCAGAGCTTGAGCTGGAGGACGCTGACGATCTGGATGGGATCGACAAGGTGCAGGAGCAGTGCCAGGTTGCAGCGACCGTGCAGGGTGAGTGGCCACCGCTAGTCCGGCCGGCTCCTCCATCCCCTGCTGCCAGTCCGCGAGGTAACCCCATGCTCAGCAGAATACGATCGTCCAAGCAACGGCTATTGTCCCTCGCATCGTCGCCGTCACTTGGACTGAGCCCCCCAGCTGGTGGTGGGGTCAATGTTGCCGAGGATGCTATGGGTACTGGAGGGAAGCAGCCAGCCACACTGTCATCAGAGGATAACAAGTTGCTTAAGAGGCTGAGCATTGGTCCAAAAATGCGCGATGCACTGCTCTTCAGACGATCAGGAGAGAAGGATGAAGAACAAGACCGGGATGGGTTTTTTAAGAGGCTTCTTAGGGACAGCAGAGACAAGGAGGAGGATGATGGGGACAGAGAAGGATTTTTCAAAAGGTTACTTAAGGATAGCAGGGAGAAGGATAATGAGGAGGAAGAAGGTGATAGAGATGGTTTCTTCCGCAGATTGCTCAGGGATAGCAAGGAGGAGGACATGGAACTGACACCAAGCTCAGATGGTTTGTTGAAGCGACTCTTCCGTGATAAGGAGGACAGGCAAGGTGAGGATGATGAGAAGGAAGGATTTTTTCGCAGGATGTTCAAGGATAAGAATGAGGAGAGGAGAGATAGCATCCATGCAAGACATGGGGATGAGGAAAGAGTGGGCAAAAGTGTGGAAGATGATGACAGAGAAGGTTTCTTCCGCAAAATTTTCAAAGATAAGAATGAGGAGAGGAAAGATGAAGGGCATCAAAAGCCAGATGAGAGGGAAAAGGTTGGTGCAAACATAGAAGAGGATAAGAGAGATGGTTTTTTCAGGCAACTCTTTAAGGAGAAAAACGATGAGAAAAAGGAAGGCAGCACACCAAGCAAGAAAGAGGAAGATGATAAAGGCCATAAAAATGCAGATGATGATAATTTCTTCCGCAGGCTTTTCAAGGATAAGAATGAAGAAAAGAAAGGGATCACTCATGACAGGAATGAAGATGACAAGTGTGAGGAAGGTGATAAAGAAAACTTCTTCCGCAAATTATTTAAGGATAAGCATGGGGAGAGGAGAACTGAGGGGCCTGATAAAAATGATGATGATGGTAAGGGTACTAGTGGTATCGAAGAGGAGGATAATCCAGAGTTTTTGTCATTCCGTAGGTTGTTTAGAGTGCACCCAGAAGATTCTAAGAGTGGGCACATAGAAAGCAGTCAATCTAACAATCTTTCTGAGGGGAGCCCAGGATCAGAAAGCTTTTTTAAGAGGCTCTTCCGTGATAGAGACCGCTCACTTGAAGATTCTGAGATTTTCGGCTCAAAAATAGCAAAAGAGGCAAGGATCTGGTCTCATATTATTTTTCAGCTTGATAGCTCCTGTGTTCATGTTATAGTAGTATATTATGCCAATTTTTATATGTTGTTTTATTTACTGTGGTTTCTTTTTGCATCTGTACTCATCCTCCCAAGTGTGGTGATATGCGTTGCAGAAACACCCTGGTAGCACAGGAATCAATGAGAAGCAAAGTGGAAAACCACCATTACCAATTAATGCAGTAGCAGAGCTTCGAAAAGGTTCTTACTATGCTTCGTTGGAACTTGTTCAGGCTTTATGTGATACATCTTATGGCCTGGTAGACATATTTCCTATTGAGGATCGTAAGATTGCCCTCCGGGAGGTAGGTCAAACACATTACCATGTAACTACATGGCTATTCATTTCACAACCTTTCAGTTATCCTGTGCCAGTTATTGCACTCTCTTTGGTCTTTTCACATTCTAACTTGTACCCTGCAATGATATTTTCTTTTATATGGCAGTCTCTTACAGAGATCAATAGTCAGATTGCTTCTGCTGAAAAAAATGGAGGTGATTTCTTCTCTCTTATTCAATATATCTCCTGAACTTTTGTTCCTTGCATTTTGTTCACTATATACACTTTTGTTAAGCCTTTGGATATTTGAATTTTTGGGATTGCATTGCTGGTAATATTACATTAGCATCTTCCATTGGAAGTTACAGGATGTACATTTATATTTTTTTGCCTTGTCCATTTGAGTCAGGTTTGTATAGTTCTGGTTATTTTATGTAAAATGTTTTTGATGGGCAATCTTTAAAAAATAGTTTCAGTCATCTGCATATAGATTACTTGAATAGCCTTTTTGATAGAACTTGTTCTGTTATATTTTTTTCGTGCATCAGTTGCCATCACCATTTTACGCACTGTATTTAGTTTCTTTGGGTCTGCTGAACAGTGAGCACCTAGCTAATTTACAGATTGTGGTGGTACTGAATTAAATGCATAAGGCATCAGAGCAATATGCCTAGCCATTGCTTTGTGTTAAAGAAGAGCACTCTCTTCTTGTGACTGGAAGCTCTGAACCAATGTGTTCTTTTTTAGGTTTATTTACATACCATAGCATTGGGTTAATGCTCCATTAATATCTACATATTGCAAAGCACCAGCTAGAATAACCTCATAACATTTTCTTTATTCTTCTATGGGTAGGAGTATGCTTTCCGATGGGAAAGGGCATATATCGAGTGGTTCATATACCTCAAGACGAGTCTGTTCTTCTGAATTCTAGGGAGAAAGCTCCTTACCTTATATGCGTTGAAGTTTTAAAAGCAGAAGCTCCTAGGTATGCTGGTTTTTTGGATGTTCAATGGAAGTTAATGATGAGTCTTTCATAAACCTGGTCAGGCTTGTTGTACTAATTTTTATTTGTATATATGAGGCTAAAGATACATAGCTCACAACTGGAGTTTCTATTGAAATTTTTGTGTTTGATAAACAATGAAATGGTGGTCTGTCACTTTGTTACTGGAAGGGATCCTCTGATGCATCTGCCACCTGACGTGGTCACTGACATGTGGGCCAGCTGGGCGTAGGGCCCACCTGCCAGTGACCATGTCATGATGTGGAGTTATGTCAGGGGTACCGTTTCCCCAATCAGATGCCATTCTGGTAACATCTCTTGTTTTATTTCCAGCCACTCTAAAGGATCATCAGATGGGCACAAATTATCAAAAGGTGGGATACCATTGGCTAATGGAGACGTGCAACTACCAAAACCACCTCCATGGGCTTATCCTTTGTGGAGCAGGCACGAAACACAAAACTATGAAACAGACAGAATGCTGAAGTCTACATCTCAGGTTATTGACCAAGCAATGGCTCAACTCTGGGAGACTAAAGTAAAATTTGTAAATGTTAGTTTCTCTATTGAGAAACTTGGTCGCTCAAGGAGCATTGCACTTTCTGAAACCGGCCGTAGGCTGCGACATGATGCTACGGATTCTCATGATCCACCTGGAGATTCGCAAACAGTTGCTGATCAGCCTATTGAATGGGTGAAGGTTACATTGTCTGCAGTTCCAGGAGTTAACATGGAAGATGTAGATGATAATGAACCAACACGAAAGAAGGACCATCGCCGCGTTCCTAGTACAATTGCCATGGAGGAAGTAAAGGTGAGCCTGACATTTGAATTTCTTTCATTAGTGTTAAGTCTTATACTTCTTGTACTACTACTTTTGTTTTCCTGTTCCTTATCTAACAAATACTTCCACGTCCACAACTTGCAGTTATCCTAACATTCTCCTTTGATGAGTTATCTTATTTGCACCCCACTGGTTGTGTTGTTGCTTTTAGAAACAAGCAACCTTGGAGCATAATGAGGTTGCATGCAGCGATGGCATCCAACTTACTGTTTGGTTACCTTTTATGCTAATATTTGCTTTTGCTGGGTTAGGCTGCAGCATTAAAAGGAGAAGCTCCACCTGGTCTACCTCTAAAAGGAGTTGGGCAGAGCACCCAAAATTTAGATCCTAAGGTGAATCCCTTATGTTCTAGTTTCTTTTTGACCAATAAGTCAGTAGCTCACAATTTCTTTTTCCTGAAGGCTACTGATGGTGGGGATCCAAAACCAACTGATGCTTTGGCTGGTGAGCTTTGGGCTGTCAAACGAGAGAGAATTCGACGGTCTTCGGTTCATGGAAAATCACCTGGCTGGGACTTGCGTTCTGTAAGTCAAATTTTGTTTTTATTATTAGATTTACTCTACTACTATTGTTATAGACCCTTTACATTCATGGATGGATCCATGGAGGCTATTTATGTACACGATTATTACCCCGTTTGTTGGTCTTCTAAACAAATGTTTGCCTCCAGTATGGCAAATGCTGTTTGCTAATCTTCATTAGATATAGGTGCTCTACAAATTATGTCATATTATAGTTAATTTTAAATTTTGTAAGTTTAACCAAATAAAATTTACTGCACTTTTATTTTGGTGTGAAATATTGTTGTAACCTTTAGGTAGAACATATAATTTAGATTGACTGAAATATCATTTTGTGAGGCAAACTTTAGAAGAGGGACACCTGTGGCATTTAGCGGGGGCTAGAGGTTAGTGCAGTTGGATGTTGGATCTCTTGAGGCTGCTTGGTAGTTTAGTTGAGGTTGTGTTTTTGCCCCTGGGGGATCTTATAATTTTTTTTTGATAGTAATGGGGGATCTTATAATTTTGCTGTAGAGTTATGGGTATGTGTGTGTTTTGGGTGTGTCGTGAATATTGTATTTTGGTGAGTGGGTGTGTGTTGTAAGGGCTCTTTCCCATTTTTTTCTTCTTGATATAATGATATGCAGCTCTCCTGTTCAACAACAACAAAAACAACAAAGCCTTTAAGTCCCAAACAAGTTGGGGTAGGCTAGAGTTGAAACCCAGCAAAAGCAATCAAGGTTCAGGCACGTGAATAGCTGTTTTCCAAGCACTTCTATCTAAGGCTAAGTCTTTGGGTATATTCCATCCTTTCAAGTCTCCTTTTATTGCCTCTACCCAAGTTAACTTCGGTCTTCCTCTGCCTCTCTTTACGTTACTATCCTAGATTTGGATTCCACTACGCACTGGTGCCTTTGGAGGTCTCTATTGGACATGTCCAAACCATCTTAACCGGTGTTGGACAAGCTTTTTTTCAATTGGTGCTACCCCTAATCTATCACGTATATCATCGTTCCGAACTCGATCCCTTCTTGTATGACCGCAAATCCAACGCAACATACGCATTTCCGCGACATTTATCTGTTGAACATGTCGTCTTTTCGTAGGCCAACATTCTCGCACATACAAATATAAAGAGTCTAATCGCCGTCCTATAAAACTTGCCCTTTAGCTTCTGTGGTACCATTTTGTCACATAGGACACTAGATGCTTGGTGCCATTTCATCCACCCTGCTTTGATTCTATGGCTAACATCTTCATCAATAACCCCGTCTCTCTGTAGCATTGATCCTAAAAATCGAAATGTATTCTTCCTAGGCACTACTTGACCTTCCAAACTAATATCTTCCTCCTCCCGAGTAGTAGTGCCGAAGTCACATCTCATATACTTAGTTTTAGTTCTACTGAGTTTAAAACCTTTGGACTCCAAAGTCTCTCGCTATAACTCCAGTTTCTGATTCACTCCTGTCTGGCTTTCATCAACTAGCACTACATCGTCCGCGAAAAGCATACACCAAGGGATGTCCCCTTGTGTGTCCCTTGTGACCTCATCCATCACTAAGGCAATCAGATAAGGGCTCAAAGCTGACCCTTGATGTAGCCCTATCCTAATTGGAAAGTCATCCGTGTCTTCATCATTTGTTCGAACACTAGTCACAACATTGTTATACATGTCCTTAATGAGCCCGACGTACTTCGTTGGGACTTTATGTTTGTCCAAAGCCCACCACATAACCTTCCTTGTTATTTTGTCATAAGCCTTCTCCAAGTCAATAAAAACCATGTGTAGGTCCTTCTTGTTCTCCCTATACCGCTCCATAACTTGTCTTATTAAGAAATGGCTTCCATGGTTGACCTTCCGGGCATAAAACCAAATTGGTTCATAGAGACCCGTGTTATTGCTCTCAAGCGATGCTCAATAACTCTCTCTCATAGCTTCATAGTATGGCTCATCAACTTAATTCCTCGGTAATTAGTACAACTTTGAATATCCTCTTTATTTTTGTAGATCGGTGCCAATATACTTCTCCACTCGTCAGGCATCTTGTTCGATCGAAAAATATGGTTGAACATCTTGGTTAGCCATACTATAGCTATGTCCCCGAGGCATCTCCACACCTCGATTGGGATACCATCCGGTCCCATCGCCTTACCTTCTTTCATCCTTTTCAACGCCTCTCTGACTTTAGATTCTTGGATTCTCCACACAGCGCCTATTGGTGTCAGCAAAAGAGTCACCAACAGAAAGGTTGTGTCCGTATTCTCACCATTGAACAATTTGTTAAAATACTCTTGTCATCGATGTCGGATCTCATCATCCTTCACCAAGAGATGCCCCCTTTCATCCTTAATGCACTTTACTTGGTTGAAATTCCTTGTCTTTCTCTTACGAACCCTAGCCATCCTATAAATGTCCTTCTCTCCTTCCTTCGTACTCAAATGTTGTTAAAGGTCCTCGTACGCTCTACCATTTGCCACACTTACAGCTCGCTTTGCAGTCTTCTTTGCCACCTTGTACTTCTCTATGTTGTCCACACTCCTGTCATGGTACAAGCGTCTATAGATTCTTTCTTCTCCTTAATAGCCCTTTGGACTTACTCGTTCCACCACCAAGTATCTCTGAGGCAATCTTTCGAATGTTGGTTGCCATCTTCTCCCACATGTTTGTCTTCTTCTTCCTTCCAAGAGCCCTCTTTGATAACCCTTTCCCTGAATACCTCTGACGTTCCCCCTTTCAGTTTCCACCACTTTGTTCTTTCAATCTTAGCTTGTTTATCCCTACGGGCACGCACCTGGAAACGAAAGTCTGCCACCAAAAGCTTATGTTGAGAAACAACACTCCCCTGGTATCACCTTGCAACCCAAGCATGCTCGTTTGTCCTTTCTTCTTGCGAGGACAAAGTCAATCTGGCTAGAATATTGTCCGCTACTGAAGGTCACTAGATGAGATTCTCTCTTTGTAAAGAAAGTGTTGGCTATCATCAGGTCAAAAGCTACCGTGAAGTCCAGAACTTCCTCCCCCTCCAGATTCATACTACCATACCCAAAACCTCCATGAACTGCCTCGAAACCTGTGCTTGTAGTACCTACATGCCCATTAAGATCGCCTCCTATAAAAAGCTTCTCACTACTAGGTACAACTCTAATCAGGCCATCTAAGTCTTTCCAGAACTGTCTCTTAGCACTCTCGTCGAGGCCTACTTATGGGGCATACGCACTAATTACGTTCAAGACCATATCACCAACGACAAGCTTGACTAAGATAATCCCACCACACCATTCTTGAGGCTCTTATCAATCAAAACTCCTAATCCATTTCTATTCGCGACTGTCCCTGTGTACCAAAGCTTGAAACCTGTATTGCCCACCTCCTTCGCCTTCTGACCCTTCCATTTAGTCTCTTGAACGCATAATATATTTACACGCCTCCTAGTCGTGGTATCAACTAATTCTCTTAACTTACCTTTAAGCGACCCTACATTCCAACTACCTAAACGGATCCTAGTTGGCTCGACTAGCTTCCTTACCCTTCGCACCGTCGACTCAGATGTGAAGACCCTTGCTCATTTTTCACTACACCCGGGCGCCGATGTGGCGCGCCACTAAGGAAGCGACGACCCGATCCTTGCTCACTTGACACCATGCCCAGATCGCGACACGGCGCGTCACCAAGGGGGTGCCAACACGGCGCGTCGCTAAGAGGGTTACGCCCCAACGGTTTTCTTTCGGGTTTCATCTCCATTAGAATGGCTAGATTTAACGTTGGCCCGCCATGCCTATCACAACCCTCCTCCTTTACCAGGACTTGGGACCTGCTATGTTGAGACAACATAGGCGGAGTTCTCTGTTCGAGAAAAAAATTTGTTTGTAATGCAATGGGCAGTTCTCTTTTGTATTCAAGGAAAAAAAATTCATATAAACTCATTACTCAATGAATAATGGTGTCTTTCTAGGGATGAAAATGATCAGAAATGGTTGGTTACGATATTTGCTGTATGGAAACTATTCCGGGTCAGTCGGAAACTCACCATATTTTCATTTTTACTATTTAGTGACGACATCAATACGGTACATGAAATTAGAAAATCAAAAGTTGAAATATGAATATACAATAATGGTCAGAAACGGTCATAAATGATATCACTATTACGGGAATGTCCCACGGTAAATGGAATATTCCATTCTCGCTTTCATCCCTATGTCCGTCCATCTCTGGAGGACTGGCTTAACTCTATCGACTGTTGAAGAATTTAAATACTGAGAAGTAAAGCGACAGCTAAATCTCAAGTGTTTCACGAATGGTTGATTCGTTCAAGTAAGCTGTTAGCATTGTGTTTGGTTTTGTGCCTTTTCATTCCAGACTCCAGAGATTCTGCAGCCTGTCCATTCCCATTGTTTTTGGTTCTGAAACATCTTCAATTACTGCCATGCTTCTGAAACATTTGTTCCAACTGTAGATTATTGTCAAGAGTGGTGATGACTGCCGTCAAGAACACTTGGCCGTACAGCTTGTTGCACACTTCTATGGTAAAAGCTGGTTCTCATTCCTATAATGATTTGTCATTTTTGCATTCGCATTTGCATTCGCATTGTGCCTTTCTCCACCAGATAAATATGCTATTTCCTTCAGAAAATGGCCTTTTGGACTATCATTTTGTCATGCTCTAGTTTGTTGTTTCTGTCAGATATCTCAATGCTTAAGCATTTAACTTGCAGTTTTGGCATCTCATATATATGCAAATATTTCAAAATTCAAACAGATGCAACCATGGAATAAGTATATATATTCTTCCTAGGTAAAGCCATGATTACTAAATGACATCTGGATATGTGAATGTTTTTTACTTTTGTACTTTTGTACATAGATATAGCACCAGTTTCTTGCACACAGAAATAGCACCACTCCTATTGGTTGTCATATTTGTGTTTGGAACAGAATTAATATACTGCAGTCTCAAATTTTTGAATGCTTGTTATGCGCTATATTACACGACAGAGGGAGTATTTTTTTTCATTGGTATGTTAATTTTCTGTTTCTGCTCTTATTTAACTCCTGATGTCAGATATATATCAAGAAGCTGGTTTACCACTATGGCTGCGGCCTTATGAAGTGATTGTTACTTCTGCTTATACAGCACTAATTGAGACCATCCCTGATACGGTAGGTATCTTATCTTCTTAACTACTACCATCATTATTACTATATGTTTGGTTCTACTACAAGTTTATTTCTTGTTACTGCAGGCATCAATCCATTCGCTCAAAAGTAGGTTTCCCAATATTTCAAGTCTCCGAGACTACTATGTAGCCAAGTATGAAGAGAATTCTCCAAATTTCAAACTTGCACAGGTGAGATGCTACCTTTTGGGGTAGAAGCAAATTATATCCTTGTGACTGGAGGTTGGGCCTGTTGGCCTCTCCTTTGTACTTTTACTTGCACAGGTGACATGCAGCGCTCATGCTTGCATTGTCTGAGAAAAACAAGATGTGTATATTTATTAATTTGCTTCTTGAATGCAAAACTTAGTTGTATTTCAGTAACCATTATACCAACTTGTCAATCCCTTATGCTATGCATGTCTATGCAAAGAATGTGGTTAGTTGCCTTTGCTTCTTAATTGTCATTTATAAGAAGAATTTTCATGCATTATGCTACCATGTTTTCGTGATACTTGATAGGCAACTGCAAGAAAACTGTCCAGTGGGATCTTCGTGTGGTCAATCTATTGTCAGCCTAGGAGGGTTAATATGAAATCTAGTATTGTTTGAACTCAAAAAGTCAGCTGTTTTTTTCTTTTTTGCAGAGAAACTTTGTTGAAAGTATGGCTGGATATTCAATTCTGTGCTACCTACTTCAGGTGCTGAAATGCAATATATCTGGTAAATGATTGATGTCATTGTTCATACAAATTGTAAGCCCATAGCTGGTGTTCCTTTTTTTTTGTGAATTTACAGGTGAAAGATCGCCACAATGGGAATCTTCTAATAGATGAGGAAGGACATATTATTCATATTGATTTTGGTTTCATACTATCTAACTCTCCTGGAGGGGTAAACTTTGAGAGTGCACCATTTAAGCTAACAAGGGAACTCCTTGAAGTATGATGGAAGCTTGAAATTTGTTTTAGATATTTTTATATTATAAAAATGAGGTTTTAAATACTTCTATATTTTTGGGTTGCAAATTTGCTAGGTGATGGATTCTGATGCAGAGGGAACTCCCAGCGAGTTCTTTGATTACTTCAAGGTATATTAAATGATAGACTCCCTTGGTTGGTTGCTGGGGCTTCTCATTTTTGTATAGGCTATATATTAATTTGTATTTCTTCAGGTGCTATGCATTCAAGGTTTCCTTACTTGTCGGAAGCATGCAGAGCGTATTATACTTCTTGTGGAAATGCTGCAGGTAACATACTTTATCTGTGTTGCCTAATATATGTCATACAACTAAGTTTTAAGGGCAAATATTTGTTTCATGCAAACACATTTTTAGCTCAACATTTTGTGATGTATATCAGTAAAGAATTATTTCATTAGATCCTTTGACAGGTCCTCCATATTGGCCAAAAGTTCCACTGTTCTCAATTTTCATCCAATACGAACTCAACTTTTTTTTTGCTGTGCCATGTAATCTGACCTACTACAGTGAATTTGTTTTCTTGCATTCAAGCATATAAATTGATTTGAGTTTTTTTTGTATGATGTAATGTTACCCCTGCATGTCTGGTATCTGGTATGCTGCCTATAATTGTGTTGATTGAGCTTTTTCTCTGATTTGGCTTGTATGCAATTGTTACAAATTATCTTACAAGTGTTATATTGTGTCCCCTTACCAGGATTCTGGCTTTCCATGTTTCAAAGGTGGCCCTCGCACTATACAAAATTTGAGGAAGAGGTTCCACTTGAGTCTAACTGAAGAGGTTTGCTTACTAATCTTTTCTACTCATCATCATTCCTAGTACTTTTTCTAACTTTTACCTTATATGATATGATGGGTGCAGCAATGCGTATCCCTGGTGCTCTCACTGATCAGTAGCAGCATGGATGCTTGGCGCACTCGGCAATATGATTACTACCAGAGAGTATTGAATGGGATTTTATGATTTTCCCCACAGGAGTAACGGATTCATTCAGAAACCAATTTTCTTGTATCCTTGGAGCAAACCGTGGGATTGCATAGGTCAGTTTGGGGCTGATCTATACTGGCACACCCCATGTCAGATTTCCAGGAGTGAGCTAGGTAATTGAGCACTGTGTTTTCATGTGTCATTGCACATTTGTGGTCAACTAGGGAAACAGATTGGTGCCTGCATTGTACTTTCATATGATCCCCCCTCTGACAGAGTTGAGAAGTGTACAGTCATCGGCAGTTATCTAGTTAGTGCTTTGTGCTAGGAGGTTGCGACTAGTGGAGCTCTATTTGGCATATTGGAATTTGGAACCCGAGCTGCATTGTTGTACAGACCTTTGGTTGACGTAGCTTGGACAAGATGTAGGAGAGGACTGGGCCATACTTTGAAGCAAACAAGTGTAAATTATAGGCATATGGGAGCTGGGGGTCATCCGAGGACAAGAACATATATGCCGTTCGAAGTGTCACTGTACTTATGTCCTGTGGTATCCCTATAGCACCAAAGTAGATGGAGATGTGCTTTGCTGCATTTGTAAATTACCAATACTGTACAGGGACCATACTATAGGAGCTTTCCGTTTTTTAGTTGTTAAGATATTAATTCGTTTTGTTGTGGCTATCTGGCCTCCGGAGATCTAGGTGATAGCTTGTTGACTAGCAGTATCATCAGTGTTTGGTAATTTTTTTTTGTGGCCCTAGCAAATTGCAATGTGGATACACAAAGTACATTTCCGTGTCATGAAGAAAAACACCTCAAGATTTTTAATACATTTTTGCTGTACCATTTCTTGTGTATAAGACTGACGTGCAGTCTGAAGTTTCGTAAAAATGGATGCTATGTATGGATCAGGTTCAGGTCGAGACTATAATGCTGTGATAAAAATTTATTATGGCTAATTATATTAAATTTATGATATTTTAATTAATATGATCAATGATGTATAATATAGTTTTAAATGGATGGTATTCAGCTCGCAAAAGTTGAAACTGTTTAAAATTTATGCCTTGAGTAATTATAGTAGATTGTTTTTTATCTTAATTTTCTAGTGATGCATGGAGTATGATTATTAATTTGTAATTTATATAGTAAATTTGATTAATGATGTACTTTTATTATTGTTCATTTATATGTATGAGAGTTTATTATAGTTATTATGTTTTTGATCTTTCATTATATGATTTGTTCAACTAAAATTATTGGGTGGATATTTATAAATCCCCCCAAAGTGACAGAAATGGATATGTGGATCCATATCCAAACTATTCATATTTTGTATCGGTATATGGGGGTCAAAAGATATTTGGACCTGTATTTGTATTCGACAAAAACAAAAACGAGAGCTTTGTGTTTAACCTTTGGTTGGATCTGTTTGGAATACATGAATCCAAAATAGAAGAATAGAAAAAAGCAGTGAATATGGTAGACTATAAAAGTGGGGAAAACTAAAGGACAGGGATAAAACATATATGACGTTTGAATCGAAAGAGTCCATAACAAAGGAATGAAATAAAGTGACAATAAAGATGGACATGTACATTTTAGTGCACAACATTAATAACATGATTGAAGATGATTTTTTTGTTTGGATTTTTAGTTGGACCAATATTCCATTAACTTTTGTTATTCTTATCCATCCGGACTATACAGGTGATAGCTTGCACACTAGAAGGGTATCATCAGTGTTGCCTCGGTTTTGTGGCCACCTTCGCAAATTTTCCTCATATTTGGATACACAAAGTACATTTCCGTGTCATGAAGAAAAACACCTCAAGATTTTTAATACATTTTTGCTGTACCATTTCTTGTGTATAAGACTGACGTGCAGTCTGAAGTTTCGTAAAAATGGATGCTATGTATGGATCAGGTTCAGGTCGAGACTATAATGCTGTGATAAAAATTTATTATGGCTAATTATATTAAATTTATGATATTTTAATTAATATGGTCAATGATGTATAATATAGTTTTTAAATAGCTGGTATTCAGCTTTAAAAAGTTGAAACTGTTTAAAATTTGCGCCTTGAGTAATTATAGTAGATTGTGTTTTTATCTTAAATACTAGTGATGCATAGTATGATTATTAATTTGTAATTTATATAGTAAATTTGATTAATGATGTAGTTTTATTATTGTTCATTTATATGTATCGAGTTTATTATAGTTATTATATTTTGATCTTTCATTATATGATTTGTTCAACTAAAATTATTGGGTGGATATTTATAAACTACAAAGTTAAATGGATATCCTGGATCCCGGATCGCAAACTATTCAGCTCCTGTATCGCGGATCCTGGGGGTCAAACTCCATCTTTGGACCTGTATTTGAGATGGATAGAACAAAAACGAGGCTTTGGTGTTTAACTTAGGACCTGTTTGGAATACATGAATCCAAAATAGAAGAATAGAAAAAAACGCAGAAATATGGTAGGCTAAAAAGTGAAAACTAAAATACAGGGATAAAAGGCTTAAGACGTTTGAATCGAAAGAGTCCATAACAAAGGAATGAAATAAAGTGACAATAAAAATACACATTACATTTTAGTGACAACATTAATAACATGATTGAAGATGATTTTTTTTTGTTTGGATTGCTGTGGGACCAATGTTCCATTAACTTTTGCTATTCTTATCCATCCACTACACATGCACGGCCGCACACAGAAGGGAGCAGTTGCCTCGGTCATGGGCCACCTTCGTTTGCCTTTCCTCACGTTTGAGGGGTAGGGCGGCAGGGGGTGATAGTCCTGTACCCTCATAATCTCCATGTTTGGGTTCGGCATAGAGCTATGGGCCAGCATCGCTTGGCAGATCAGGTGCAATCCGGTGCCCGAAGTAAGCTAGTATTAGTAGAGTTTATCTGTTGCTTAGATCTTAAATCCATAGGAATCCATCTTTACTCTTTTCAGCTATCCTTGTTTTATCATTTGACGAATTAGTTAGAAAAAATACATTCGTTCCCTATGGAAAATATGATACCATGAATACTTTCGGATGAAACCTACGACGGTAATTCTATGCGCTTGCGGATTAATTCTGTAGACGTTAAGAAATACCAACAAGCGTGCACTTATTCTCGACGAGACAAGACCCGACGACGGGACCAAGTGCAAGACGAGTTTGGGAACCTCGAGATGCACGCTCCTATCCCCAGAGCATCAGACTACGCCGGTCGCCCCTAGCCAGCGTGCTACCCGCCATCCCTCTGGTTTGAGCCTCACCAACGATCTCAGTGCCCCAGGAGGCACCCGAGGACCCAAAGCCAGAGGAAAAGGAGGATGACCTGGCCATGGACAACAGCTCCAAGGCCGAGACCTGACGCATCGGTGACACCTTCTACAATAAGTCTCGGGTTGGTCCCGAGCAGTTTCAGGATGCAGGATGACGAGCGAGACTCAGCTATGTCATCAGTGCGTCCAGTTTTATGTTTTTCTTTTATGTCATGCATGTCTCAGGTTGCTATGAATAACAGTCTTGTGCCCCCGAGGTCTGGGAGCTACTCCCTCAGGCCGCTCGGGGGCTAAGTTCTAATTCTACACCATGTCCTTGACAAGTGTTTTTTCTCTCAATACCTTGAAATGTTACGCTAACATAGCAAGGCATTCGGGGGCTACAAAACCGATCCTAAGACTCCACTCGTCGGCATAGCAACGCTAACTGACCAGAACACCTCCCGAGTATGGCTACACTAGCCTGAATGAAACTCAGTTCAAAACGCTCGGGGGCTATACGCGGGCACTTGTACCCAAGCCAAACACGATCTCGCGACAATGATTCATTCTACTCGGGTGGCATGCGCAGATTAGAACGTTGTACAAAACAGCAAATCCTAACACTCGGATACGTTACGCTAGTGTTCGGGGGCTACTACTGCGCACAATTACACACGGGAAGGTCTTGCAGGGATCCACTAATTTGCAAATCAAAATTTTATTCAGATGTTTCTTTTTACAAGAGAACAGGTCGACATAACTCAGCACTAATGAGGGGTGTCCTTGAAAACCTGCTCCACGCTGACCACGATAGCAATGGCATTGGCGGCGGCACCGAAGTCGGCGATCAACTGCCCGATGTTGATGTCATCGGGTATCTCTGCTTCTGACGGGAACCCGAGCTCCACCGTGCGCGGGTCCACCTCGGGCTGACGACAGAGGTGGGTGGTGTCCAAGGCTGCCACAACCCCGTGGCGAACGCCGTGCGCCGCCACCTACCTGATCCGCGCCGGGAGCCCTCGGAGCTACTCGTGAAAGCCTGGCCCCACCGGCAGCACCAACTTGATGGCGATAGCCGCTGCTTCTTGTAGCTCCGTGTAGCGGTCACTGTTGACCCGCGCTATGGCAGCAGAGCTGTGCGCTCCTACGGTTGATTCATCCCGGAGGTGGGCCGCCTCCACCAGCCGCCCAGCCAAGCCCTTGTTGGCCTAGTGTAGGTTCATTGCTTCAGCTTGGGCAGTGGCCAGCTGCCCTGCATGTTTGAAAAGAACAAGAACACAAAACCCTCTACATCATCAGGACACGGGTTAGTTCAAACAAATCCCAAAGAACACTACTAGAAATATCCACCTCTATGACAAATAGCTTTCGTCACTAAAGGAGCCAAATTCATCATAATTTCAGTTTTATGATGAATTTATGATGAAAAACGGTTCGTCATAGAAGTCGCGTCATACCAGAATTTTATGACCATTTTTGCAAATTGTCATAGAATTGGCTTGATCTGTGACGAAAACAGAACGTCATAGAACTGTTTTGGCATGCGTGGCAGGAGGGTTGCCACGTTGGTGGGTGCTTCCGTTAGAGATGCTTTTCCACGTGTACATGGTATAGGTGGTTGCATTGGAGATGGTTTGGGTACGTGTCACCTTCTTATTACACAACATGACCATCTCTGGTTCTTGCACGTTTTAGGTTCTTACTGGACCACGTGTCGGTTCCTTGTTGTTCAACATGTTAGTTTTCTATTGGCACACGT